ACCACAGGGGTTCGTGATAACCTTGTATAGTACTTTTAACTTTTGCATGAGTACGCCCATAGAAATTATTTTTAACCATTTGTAACTAGATCTTTTATAACTTGCTTGTTATAACTAACTTGTCTTTTTTCTATTAGTACATGTTGATGAGGGATTCGTAATGTAATGTTATTTATTTTGTTATCATTATTAAAAGATTGTGAATGTCATTGATGTATGGTTTATCACTGCCTTTTCGCTTAAATTCAGTGAAACAAAGAACTTTTGGTACCATGGCTAGCTTTCCGTTTTATGTTTGCCTACCTGGTCTAATATGTGATATCGTAACTAAAATCTAAAAGAAAATCTTAAGACTTATTGTAAGCTTTGACTTGAATTGTTTCCATGATTGGAGGGACTTGTGTAAAGCGTCTTCCTTATTATCACGTGTATCTCCGATCTTGATCAACTGTGAAGTTCCTTTTTCATCTCTTAGCTGGCTGAGGCTCAACAGATGCTACGTGAGCGGGAGGCTACCATTCAGGATATCACCACTCAAAAGGAAAACTTGGAAAGCAAGGTGAGTCACACTCCGCTACTATTTCATGCCCGAAGCTCATTTGCGCGGGGTTGAAGGGATTGTGGAAAAGCAGTTAACGACGGCTTTGGTTTTACTTGGCTTTGTTCTGTGATTGGTTGAAGAAAGAATGGAAAAAAAAAAACAAACACTTTTTGTGTTCATTTGGGTCGTAGTCATATTTTTCTTTGTTGCGATAGGCCAACGTGATTACTTTGGTTTTGGTTGTGCGACGTGCAATCGAATAGCGTAGTTAGAGTAACCCGTTAACGTTATCTTGTTAGCTCAGTTGTTATAAGCTTATCCCTCTAACTTTGCTTGTCCCCGTTACCCGAGAACACTGTGCATGTAATTGCCTCCCCAAATTAGAAAAGGGCAGTAGTTTACCGATGCTGCCTGACGTAAAGAGAAAGAACCTCTCGTTTTTGTGTGGTAGAATCTACCGACACTGTGAGACAGTCCTGGCGTGCCACGCCTCGGTCACGTACCGCTAATAATGGTATTCTTTTTCCTTGTAAAGGTTGACCACATGGCAAACCGTCTTTCGTATTTGGAAGAGTGCACAGTTGAAAAACATCAGTTTGACCAAATGGAGAGCAAGGTATTCATTGCTGTATGAATAAATCATGATTGGTAATTATTGAAGAATGTCTGTTTGGCTTACTTCTGGTTTTTATTTTTCATTTCCAGAGAAGGGAACTTGCAACGCAGTTGGATTTGGAGGGATCATTCAAAAAACGACAAGAGGTGCAGTGGTTTCGTTCATTTCTTTTTTCGTAGCTTATCGGTAGTGATCTTTTTAGTTTTTGTTTTGACTCCACTTATCGGAAATCTTGCGGAGCTTTACGAAAATTTTTCGAAATTACGTCTCTTTCCCACAATTGTTTTCGCCTTTTTACTTGTCAGACTTGTGCAAGTAATGTGTTATTTGATCTTTAGGTTCAAGTCAGTCGACTAAAGGAGCAAGTTCAAAAACTAAACGACGAAAAGGAAGATCTGCAGCTCAGAGAAAACAAACTCATTCAGGAGAACTCCAGGTACTCGCATCTCGTCTATTCAGTATCTTCTTTCATGTTTTAGGCTGTATACTTTTTTGATCACTTTGGTCTCAGTCATTCTATTTGATCAAACTTAAATGGTCCTCTCTCTTAATCCGTCACCAGCTATTAAGTCCTTTGCAGTTAGCAACAGCATGCTTCGTAAAACAGCTCGGTTGAGGGGGTATTGAGCTAAACAGCCATGTCCCGCAAGTTGGATGTCTGACGCGCAAATTTGCTCTCTAGCAAGGAATTTTATGCGTTTACTGCTACCCCCAAAAAGCTCCTCATCCACTGGGTTTGCCAGGTTTTTTTACGCGCTTTTACTAATACACATGAAGTCTTCTAAAGCAGCGATACTCTTGAAAGTTCACGTTGTACTTCTCTCGCATCTCTAGGTTGGATCGACAAATGCGTGAGTTAAAGGAGGAGATGACTTCCCTCTCGAGACAAGAAGAGGATCATAAGAAAAGAAAACTTGATGCTGTGAGTCTCTTTCGAATCGTTTCACTTCTTAAGGCGATCACCTCGGCACTTATTAAGATATTATTCTGTATATCTTCGATTGTTTGTCATTTGTTACTCCTGTGTTGACTAAAATATCACTGGTAAAGTCTTAATGAAGCACTTAACTCTTCTTCTCAAATTGTTTTTGTTTCTTTGAAATTTTTAGGAACGAGAGGTTGAAAATTTAGAGGGTGTTGTAGCAGGCCTAAAGCAAGAATTGGGAATGGCAAAGAAACGCGTCAGCGAATTGCAGCACGCTTTGGAAGATGACATGCACTACGACTCGGAAGGAATGTCGAACGACGACGACTACGGCGATGACGACGACGACCTCGACATGAGTGATGAATCCGACGAGTTCAAAGACACTGGGTCACGACGGTCAGAGCCGAGGTCATATCGATCGTTCGACGAGCTTGACGACGAGTATGACATCACTGATCGACTGAAACGAAAATTGGACGATCTTAGTGACGATGTACCTTCTTCTCCTAGAGGGTCACGACCTGTTAATGATTCTGTGGATTCCAACGTGTTCGAGAGCTCTCGGAAATTCGATAACGTCAGTGACACGCGAAAAAGCAATCGTAAGGAAAGCGGAGAGGATCGCCATCATCGGCGGTCACGATCGGGTACCGACGAACATGATACCAGTGTCGATAAGAAACGAAGGAAGAGCGATGATAAAAGAAGAAAAAGTCTTGAAAAGAAAAAAAGTTTTGAGAGAAAATCCAACTCCACGGATAATTCTATACATTAACGAGAAGACAGAACAGATGACTGTTGTATATGATTTTTGTTGTGAACAGGATTTTACGGCGTTTTGGAACAGAGTTTGAGGCTGAATTGTGTTATTAGGCGATGCAACCGCAGATGTTATTGTTGAAGTTGTCACTTAAACAGTGCCATATTAGCCAAAATATGGCGTTGAACTCGTTGAACACATGATCAAACATGGCTTCAAGACTCAAACTACGTCAGGATTAAGGGATAGACTCAGCTTTTTCATTTTTTTTTAATGCTGTGTAAGATATCGAAAACTCATCAAGGTGAATTGCCGGTCGCCAGCTTCAAATACAGTTCTTCTGGTTAATTAGTTGAGACTATGCCCAAAACTGAAATCGAAGAATTAACAACATTACTCGACAACCTACTCTAAATAATTTAATACTTGAGTTTCGTTTCATACGAACAGTCTCATCTGTGCCTCATGTCTTTTCTGGTTCTTGGATAACATGTTAAGGTTTGTTTGTCAGTAATAGACGGTACGGTGGTATAAAGGTTATGGTTAAATGGTTATATTTAAATACTTTGGTTCTATCTCGTTCTCTCTTTTAAACATTTTAACCAGTGTAAACTTTTCATGCTCAAAATTTCGTGCTATTTCTTGACATTTATTTAATCGCATCTACTTTATTGTTTTTCTAATTTATGGAAGTTTCCGTGTCAACTCGCATCGTGGCATGTTGACAATACCACTTGTTCACTTTGACAAAATTAATCAATCACATCATGGGAAACGGGCAGTGGCTCTAACTAAAAACTATAGAGCTTGGCACTAAAGCCAGCAAAAGATGGTTAAAAGATTCAAATAGATTTGATGGTTAGTTTCTTGTCATAAATTTGGTCAGTGTCGAGTAAGTGACCTCGCAGTATAAGTTGTCGCGCTGAAAAACTTACTTTCATTATTGTACGTTAGCAGTGAGTCGCCTGTGGTAAATGTCGTATCCATTAACTCCTATAACATGCAAACCCACGTGATGAGTTCTTGGAAGAAGATTTTGCGATACCAATAAACGAAGTTATATACTGCTGATGATCCAGATAATTTTTTTCAAGTTGAGAAGGTTATTTGTGCATCTCACGTCTTGTCAACTTGAAGCCAATCTCAAGTAGCAATAAATTTTGCAGCGTGTGCGTCTGTTAAATGAAAGATTGCTCTCATTGGAAAGGTGACGAGATAAAAACTTAGAGTTTCACAGATAAATTAGGATGGTTGTAAATGACAGATTAATTATGTTGCACAAAACTTTTTTGGTATATACAAATCACTTGAATATATTTTATATTAGGACTGAACAGATTTAATTATGGTAGATTAGTTATTTTTGTAAGGCTTCCTGCGTGTCTTAACGCTGGCTGTCGACTGGGATCTGATGGGTGTACATAAAGATACTGGCCTACACGTCCATGTTGTGTTAGTATTTTATTGTTGTGGGGGGCTGGAGGCGCGCGATGTGTGAGCGAGGAAGGCGCAAGGGTCGAGTCTCGCACGATAGGAGCTGTGTGAAAAAAACACTCGATCGCGCTTGCTGATCCGCTCGCGTGAAAACGACACCGCTGGAAGGGAGATAGATCCACGCCTTAGGAAAAATGTTGTAATACTGGAAACCTGTAGGGAATAAAAATCCTCCATCATCCTCCCCCTTCCCCTAGCCAAAGAGTAAATTATTAAGTGCCGAAGCTCTATCCTACGTGTAGCCGTACCCTTTCCCCCGCCAAGGTGAAACGGAGGTTCCCTCGCCTCCAATTCACCTTGAAGGGGAAGGGGACGGCTACACGTAGGCTACCGAAGCTCACCATTTTCCCGCCACATTTATTGTGTTGAGCAATGAAATTCGTTGGAGATGTAAGATCTGTGCGTGGCTTCATAATTTCTGAATTAAAGGATTACAGACATGATCAGCGCCCTAAATAGGTAGTTGTAGTACCTGAAAAAATAATTTCCTCCCTTGATGTTGACTGAATTTGACAGTTAGTGTACGCGATCGTGTGGAAATCAGCTGTCGATCCGGGTTCTTGCAAATCAATCTGCAAATCAGGTCCGGTGAGGTATAACCTTAAAGTCAGATTTAGGCGAGGTCGCTAAATTTTCTCAGAATAACCATGACGCTGTTCGAGCCACTTGCAAACATTATCTAAGGACAAGGTAAAGAAAATGGAAATGTACGTGTGGCATCGGTGATGCAGTATTCGAAGAACTGTGAGCGATCTTAAGTTCGATCTTGATTTTTGTGCCTTTTTTGAGCGATCATGTCGGGTTACGGAGCACCTTCAGTGGCCATGGCGCCCTTTTTGAACGAAAGAAAAGCCATCGAAGATTTGACGAGTCTTCTTAAGCATATTGACGACAAAGGAGAGCTTAAAGATCTTCTGGAGAATGAAAGTCAGCTCAATGAACTAATCGCAGATAATGAGGAGGTTTGTTGTTCAGTTTGTGCATGTTTGTATCGTTCGCTGCTGGGATATTAATCCGTTTTTTCCTTGTTAAATGTCGCATTCAAATGTTTATCATCCATAAATTTAGCATGGTTCGTTTTTTCGATCTTGCTTACAAGAGTTCTTCCAATCAAGTGGCCACATCGCTATCGTTTCCTCTCTTTCGAACCTAAATTTAGCGTTGTACGATTATGTGTAATTCCACTTTTGGGGTTAATAAATTTAAAGTACTGGTTGTACAAACGGAATCGAAGAGTAACGGACATTTAAATAATACGGTTTTTATGGAAAGGAGGTTTTTAGTAATGCATAGACGGCTGCTTCAAGTCATGTTGTAGCTTTTTTTAATATACTGTCACAAAATATAGTTTGGTTTGTTGCGTGTGATTCGATTGTGAGCAGAGCGGTCGTTCACTGACTAAACTAGACCTGACAGCTGCATATAGATTTGGAAAGTTAGAGTTGTCAGGGATGTCAGTAGAGAATGTAATAGATGTATGATCTGAACTGAGTGGGTGGCTGAATTGAATTATTCTTGAGTAGCAAGCATGGCATGTTGAAAAGGAACTTTCTTGGGGTCAGGTGTGGCATGCCCCCCCCCCCCCCACATTTAATGTATGAAACTCTGTCAGATGGATGTGGCATCAATAATTTTGGAACACATTTGAGACACTTTTGTTTTAGCTAGACTTTGGTGTTAGAATCAATTAAAAAATACTCATTTTCTGTCTTTGATCACAGTTTACAAAGTAACCAGCGGAAACTGGTCTGATAGCCAGCAAGTTTCTGCTGCTTATTGACATCTCAGGAGAACCCTGAGTATTATGATATTCATGGATGTAATCTTTTACTTATGATTTACAGCAGTGACATGATTGTTGTTAATAACATTTTGCATGTAGGTTAAGAGAATTCAAGTGCAGCGTGAGACTCTGATGGCAAGTAACAGAAGTCTTGCAGAGTACAATCTGTCACAGCAACCTATACTGGAGGCAAAGAAAAACGCACTTTTTGAGGCTCACCGAAACAAGGCTGTTATTCAAGAGATGTATGAAGAGTACAGAAAAAAACTAGGTACAGTATTTGTTGAGTATAGCTGTATCAGAGTTGTGTTATTAGACATAATTATTCACCTACAATTGCCTCAAAATGAAGGCATGGTTATTTTGCTGGCCCTTTGGTAAGCTATCAACACATTTTCATCACAACTTGCCTTGTTGTATACTGTATTATAAAATAATTCAAATAGTACGCGTGCTCTGATTGGCCATAAAACCATTTTACATGAGCGTATGTAAACACGGTTTTCGTTCCTCTTTCATAAGTTATTTTATAAAAGAAATGTAAAATAGTTTCCATGTTTACATAGCTTAATGTAAACACTTGGGAGGTTGGGAGAACACTCGATAAGCTGGAAACCACTCCACTTCACGTGGTTTTCTACGCTTATCTCGTGTTCTCCCAACCTCCCGTGTGTTTACATCAGGCTATGTACACACAGAAACCATTTTACATTTCTTCAATGAAAATACTCTGTGCAATTAAAATACTTTGTGCAAAAACCTCTCAGTGACATGCAGCAAACTTGGAATCTGCTTAATTTTGGTTAAAAATTAATAGTTTCATTTAAGTCTTTTTTGTTTTTTTTTTACATAGGTTTTTTACTCACTTTTTTGTTTATCACTCATACAAGTATATTAAGGAATTATTTTATTACAGCCTTCAGTCTTCAGTGATTAAAGGTTGTGACTACATTACAACATGCCTCTTGGTTCAGCTAATGGTATTAATGTGTAGCTGGGTGATGGGATTGTGTGAGTGTAGTCATGTTGATATTGACTCATGCAAACCTAGATCCTGTTCTCCAACAGAGCTATTCATTATCTGCGAACAGAAAACGTCATAGGATGTTGGACTATTGGTTTATTGAAAATAACTGATTCTTTGCAGATGCACTTTCAAGCCAATATTCACCGGACACAACCTTAGCATTGTTGCAAACTTCTGCAGCACAAGCAGAGGAAGAAGCTGAGGTAAATTGAAAATAAGGGTGTATCTAGGCTATGCTCCCTTTTAATCTTCTCTCTCAAATTGCATGGGGCTAAATGGGGTATGATGATCAGTATACAAGCCAGCTTCATTGGAGAAATGTCTGGTAAATTTCCAGTACTGACAGTCAAGTGCAGGACATGGTCCAACACCTTAACCCTTAAACTCCCAAGATCTGATTGTCAATTTTCCCCTCTGGCTGCTACACATTTCCTTGTAAACTAGTAACAAGAATTTGCTGTTAGATCAAGATAGCAACTTCAACCTGATAAGTTTGAGTATTCTCGTTACATTTTTGTTGGATAATGTATGGATATTGTAGGGAGAAGTTACTTGTTAAGCACATCTGGGAGTTAAAGGGTCAAAAACGGATATCTGATACAAACCCAAAGAAAATGCTATATTTATAGTATTTAGCACCAACATGGAAAAATTTGGTTTCCATCCACTTTTCAATTACAGAAATGTTGCAATTTGTTTGAAGCTGTTGGTAAAATGACATTGAGTTGAACTATAACATCTTTCCTGAACAATTTTCTATTTGACTAGCTTCACTTTTTCTTGGCAAAAACTCCTCAGTGGTTTGACAAATGATTAGATCATTTGTCAAACCACTGAGGATTTGCAGGCTTGGTATATGGTAAGTGTTGTTGTATGTTATGATTAATGAACAGGTGTGCATTCTTTAGCACTGAATCAAATATTTTATTGCATTTCAGAAAATTGCTGATAAATTCCTAGATGGTGAAATCAATGTTGAGGACTTCATTCAGTCATTTCAAAGTCAGAAGACTATTCACAGCTTACGAAAAATTAAATCTGAAAAGTTGACTGAGCTATTAAGAAGTAGGATGTCTTCCCAATATTCCTATAGGCTTTAATTGTTCATACTCTTAAACAAGAAGAAAAATACATGTTAAAAATAAACAGGCTTATCGTCTTTTCTCTTCAAAATAAAACAAAGCTCTGTGGATATGGTCAAACTCTTTTGTTGGGGCCAGCCCCAATGAGGATTAAAAACAAAACTTGACTGGGGTTTCTGTGTTCAAAAAGGCATGATTTAGAGTTGATGGAGAAGGATGAAATACCTTACATTTTTCAACCTTTCATTGGCAAAATGAAAGTTTGTACTCATGTGAAATCATTAATTTATGCATAGCTTATATTAATGTAATAGAGCAGTTGTTTGAGGGATAATGCTATGTTAACTATTTTACTCCCAGATTTCATTAGTGATGCTCCATACTGTCTGCCATACAATTCTTACGATGTTGGTGTGAAGAATTTTGTATTGGATTGACTAATAATCCCCTAATTGATATTTTTGCTTATTCTCATCACTTGTCTGCTTGATGTTGTATGGATATTGTAAAGACAAGTTCTGTTTTGGTTGCTCATGGGAGCTAAAGGGTTATGTGTATATTGCCTGTCTGAGCCTGACTCAGATTAAAGTGATGTCAACTGGGAGTTAGGCCCAGATTGACAATCTTCACCTTGGACAAAGTCATTGGTAAAATTTAATAATAAAAGTTAGTATGTAACAGGCTGGGAATTATGCTTACATGTTTATTGTATAATGTGATCTGTAGCAGCTATGGTGATCACATAGCTTGGAATTGGTTGTATTACTTTAATTCACTTTAGCACAGCTAAGTTCGAAGTAAAGTTCAAAGTTAATTTTTAGGTTTTCTAATGGTAATTATCAGTACGATATGACTGTGGTATGTATATGGTTTGAGACCAAGAGACAGTTAGACAGGTGTCAGAAAGTTTTCCCAAAAGCTTGAAAGTTGTGCAAAAGAGCTGGCTCTTTTGTATAATGTTAGTCCTTCAAATTTTTGTGCAACCTTCAGGCACTGATTTTTGATATGTCTTCCATAGTTTCCTGTAACCCATTAAAACTGAGAATAAAGAAAAAGTGTTTCCTTCTTCACTTACTTGTTAGGTTTTATATTGAACTATCAATAAATTATTATATAATAAGTTCAGTTATGCACGCATTCTGATTGGTTCTCACTTATGATCTATTGGAGGACAGAAGTATAGATGATGTCATCATTAAAACTTTGTTTGATTCTTAATTATATAAAACCACATTTTCACAGACGTGACATCTGTTGTGTGCCATCTAGTACTGAACAGATGCACGGCAACTTGGAATCTATTTGTTAATTACACTCTCCTTTGAGTAATCACCCCCACCCTACTCCCCAACAATAAATATCACATATCAATATCTACCACACACGTTAATGATGCTTTTTGAGCATACTGATTGTCTACTTCATAAGGAAATGGTGAGAACTAAGTTGCACGTCAACAATTGAATGGATCATATTTGGGCATATTGACAGAAATAAACTTTTTCTTTTCGGTTTTCTGTGTGATATATACAAAAACAATTATTTACTTCAATGTCAGTGAATATGGTGGATATTTACCCTGCTGCCTTGAACTTCACTTAACATCCACCACTATTCAGCTCCACTTTAATGAATAATTGTTAACCTTACACATTCCAGGCCACCAGTAGGCTTATCAACTTCAGAGCTTAAATTGAAGGATTTATGTGAGAAGAGGGCTAAATATACACCCATTGATGAGAGCAGGCATGCTAGTCATTACTTTCCCTCTGACTCTCATGTAAACGGATCTAGTACACATAACTTTTTGTTTGAAAGGTGCATGCCATATTTAAAAGGAAAAGTCACAAAGTTTTCCACAAAAGCAAGAACTGTGTGAAGCAACTTTAACAGTCTCCTTTGCAATCATTGTTTGGTCTTGTTGTGCAATGCACTCTCTTCCCCACCAGAGCAAGGGAAACTAACTTCAACAACCATCAATTTTCTGTGGCTGTCAGTTGCATAATACAAAACAAAATTACCACAGGATTAATTTACCCCTTCATATAAAGTATTAAAACAAAATTTAAAAAGTCACTCCGAGAGCAGAGGAAGATCAAACAAGGCCTTGGTAAGAAATGCACTTGCCTTCTGGGGAGGTTACTTTATTTTCATTGTTTCTTGGTTTTGATGGGGGAAATATAACTATAAAAGTTGAGCCCAAACTGTTCTTAATACAAAATTTACACAAAAGAGTCGTTGGTGTAGAAATCCCAACCTTTATCATTTAATATTAGCTTCCAAATTCTCATTACCAAATGTTTTTGTATTTTCTACCAATGAGAGAAATGTATGCGATATTTGTGTAAAATATCACATTCGAAAGTCATCTTTTGATTCGAATTTCTGTGCGTTTTTACTGTAATAATACATACAAATAAGCAATAATACGGTAATCGAAACAAACGTAGCCTTCATTGTGCCAGATCCCGTTGTTGGCGTATTCAATTTTTCTTTCCTAAGTTGTTCTTGTCTTAATTTTGTTCGGTGATTTCGATCAAGTGTATCCGAGTAGTGTGCTTTAGTCCATTCGTCAAAATTATAAATCGACCCTGATTTCTTGACCGTTTGTGGATGTTCGTAACCTTGTGCGTGTTCTGCTCTCAACTGTCCTTCGCCGATAAGTTCTCGATCATATTGCTTTCTCGATTCTTGATTTCCAAGTACGTTGTAAGCCTCCGTGATATTTTGAAACTTTTCGTGAGATTCAGCGCTTCCCTTGTGTTTGTCCGGGTGGTGGTTGATGGAGAGCTTGTAAAATGCGTTTTTAATCTGTGCCTGGGTGGCTTTAGGTGAAACGCCGAGCACTTTGTAGAAGTTTTTCGTCCTGGTCTTTGCTCCTGTGCTGTAGAATTTCACATCTCTATCGGGGTGTATCAATTTTAAAGCAAATTTATGAACGCCAAAAATCGACGATGATCTCAGAAAGCCGTGAAAAGATGTTTTACGAAACTGAATGTACTTTAAACCAGTCAATCGCGGGGACGATGAGCTCTGGATCAACAATCTGACCACACAATTCATAACGAAGTGGCCGGCATTTAGTCAGTGACCGCCATTGCTTTCTTGCGTAACATAATTTAGTAGTATATGAAGGTGTTCTTGAACATGAAGTATCAAGTTCTGTCACGCACAGTTGCTGCTATGAAACACCGTGGACGTAGGTTTAAAGCGCAGATCCGCTGATATCATAAGATTACTTTTCCAACATGGCGTCCGGAAGGCGACCCGAACATCAAGCACCACCAGAAGTGGTAAGAATTTTGTAATGCTGTCCACTTCTTTTACTTATTTTATCTAGAATAAAGGAATTTGGTCCTCAATCATCTTTTTGCCTTTTTCTCCAGTTTTACAATGACGATGAAGCCCGCAAATACACATCAAAGTGAGTGGAATCTTTTATTTACTAACACGTAGCACGTGTGTTCATTTGCAACCGGGGGTTGAATCTATCAGTCTTCAATTTCTGGGGTGATCATCGCGCTATGTGGGTTTTTTAATTCTAGATAACGACCGTGGGAGCTAGTATGGCGCCTTTAGGGTAAACTTACATGTGTCTTATGATATAACTAGCTCAGTAAACTCTTTAAACCCAAACAACCCAAATAGAAGTCATCTTCAGAGTCAAGTGAATGGTTGTGGTTAGTCAGATGTTCTAAATCTGGTTCATATAAACTGATTGATCAGTCTTGCCGTGATGTTATTGGATGATGTTGTCTTTGACGTTTGTCAGTGTAGTGATGCACGACCAATCTCGACTGACTTACACCACTTGAGTGTTACAGCCAATAGCACCAAGTAAGGCCGACCAATCAGTTTATTCGAATGGGAGTTAGAACATTTGACTGACCACAAGCATTCACGTCATTCCAATGATGACTTCCACTCAGGACTACCAACACCAGTCCTTCTCCTGACCACATTCACCTGGAGGATCAGACTACACTATCAAATGTTAACCCCAGGTTCAAACTATTTACTGTAATCTCAACATCATCTTCATCACTGTCAAGTCCCATAATACATGTACATGTATTTAATATGGAAAATTATCATACTTTGTAATTTCAGCACAAGAATGATTGAGATTCAAGTCCAACTTTCTCAGAGGGCAATAGAGCTGTTAGATTTGCCAGAGGATCAACCTAGTTTTCTTCTGGACATAGGGTACTGCAATACAATTCTAATGTAAATTATATATGACTATTTAAGCATGCAAATAGTTTATTTGACAGTTGCCTCCTTTAGGAGTGGGTAAAGCTTTTACTGCATGTTCAAATTTTTTTGTTTTATTTTTTTTTTGCTAAAATAAATTATTACAGCTGATCTTAACATGACTTTGACTCATTTTATGTTTTTGGAACATTTACTCAATTTCCTAGCTTTGGTTTAGTATATCATCAGATGTTTTAGCACTTGGAGCTGTAATCGATGTATTATTTAGAGTAATTTGCATCAACCATTTTAATAGTGTGTCCCTTCACTTCATTTTCCATGTCACTTCTTCCTCTCATGGTAAATACATTAATATGAAGTGTTTTATTTCTTTCCTTTCTTCTTTTGTAGCTGTGGATCTGGTTTAAGTGGTGAAGTGTTGACAGAGCTGGGTCATCAGTGGGTTGGCTTAGATATCAGTCCAGCAATGCTTGGTAAACATGATTGATAAGGACAGAACCACTTAAATTTTGTTATCTAAAGGGTGTTTGTTTGTTTGTTTGTTTTATTTTTTGCATGTCAATGCATACTTTGAGTTTCCCAGTAGGTTTATTTGCAATTCTTCTCTCTCACAAGCAGCTACAGAAATCTTCAATTTGCTTCTCAGAAAACTTATGTGATGGAGCACATTTACAATGTAAATGTAGCAAGATAATGTCCCGTTTGAATCTCCATCTACAAGACAGTATATCCTAATGACTTCTTTTTTAAATTAAATTACTGAGTATTTAATTTTTTAGTATAAAGTGTGTTTGCTCATGTGTCAAGTGGCTATATTTGTTTGTCTAAACAAAAATCTTTTACTGGTATTACATTGTAGGAAGAAGGTGCTTTATTCTGAAAGCATTGATTCAGTCCCCCTTTAGGTGGATGTGATGTCTGGAGTGAATTGCCTTCTCATTGGTGGATATTTTTCACTTAATTTTGTCAGATGTAGCAGTTGAAAGAGAAGTAGAAGGAGATTTGTTTCTTCATGACGTAGGACAGGGTCTTTGTTTCAAACCTGGAACTTTTGATGGATGCATAAGGTTTGGCCATAGCCTATGGTTTATTGCTATGTCACCACTGATAAACCCTTTGCACCCTAACATCAGTGTTCATATTCTCCATACTGTTCTCTGTACATTAACTAAGGTGCTGACAAGGAGAATTTGTTTAAACATTGTGAACTTCTTCAATTGGTGATCATTTCCTTTATTTTTATTGCATTGTGTTTGGTTCATGGGTGATATTTTAAGGTGAAATTGGATGCTAGTCACTCTTAGATGTTAAATGGTTAAAGCAGCATCTACAGAATGTACTTGTTGCGACTCAAGCAGTGACAAGAATGATTTTTGTCTGTTATAATGTAGTTATCAATCTGTATCATCATTAGTTGGATTTTTATTTTTATTTTTCAATGTTACTTCATAGAATAGTGCAGTACTCTGGTAGATGCTTCAATCTTTTAACTCCCAAGATCTGGTTATTAATTCTCCCCTCCATCTGCTACACATTTCCCTGTTAATTATTTATGAGAAGTTGATGTTAGATCAAGAAAACAACTTTTACCTGATAAGTTTGAGCATTCCCATTACCAGTTTGTTGGATTATGTATGGATGTTTTAGGGAGAAGTTACATGTTGATCATGTCTGGGAGTTTAAGGGTTAATTGGCTGAGGAAAGATTCAGTAACTGTTGTAACTTACTGTATCATGAGCTTTGTGAACCCAAATCTTCTTTGCTGGTCCATTAGTGACCTCAAGTGTCACCAATGTTCAAAAGACTACAGTGGTATAAAATGTAATATCATTTGTCTTTTTTTTTTTCCCCTTAAAGCATATCTGCTCTTCAGTGGCTTTGTAATGCTGACAAAAAGGGACACAATCCTGCTAAAAGGCTCTACAAATTTTTCAGTTCACTTTACAGTTCAATGGTTAGTTTGAAAAGGTTTATATTCCTCCATAATTTTGTGTGTTTATCTAGCTCAGCATTTGAGCCAGTACTTCAAACTTAACCTCTTATCTGAAGACACTCTCAGTAACATAAAAAAATTACCATCCCCATGAGTTTATTCTGTATGACTGTCAATCCAGTGATGATTGAGTTAAAAGGTGTTAGGAAGAATATCTTACTGAGGGTCACAAGAACAGTTTACCACATTTTGCAACCATTAGTATTGGTCAGATGTCACTAAGAAAAATATTTAAAATAAGGTGAATTGGGAATTAATCAGATTCAGCAGCCTCATGCATGAAGACAGGAATTAATCAGAGTCAGCAGCCTCATGCATGAAGACTCTGGCTTTTATTTTTACTGATGTCTTATTCTACAGTATCTATCTTTTTTTAACATATGCAGAGTCGGGGAAGTAGAGCAGTTTTCCAGTTCTATCCAGAAAACCCTCAACAGGTATTTGGAACACATTTGTCTTATCTCAAGCCACAGGGCTGAAAGGGGCCTTTTAATTTGTGAGAATTTGTGTTAGATCAAGACAACAACTTCTACAGATAAGTTTGAGTATTCTCACTACGTGTTTACTGGATAATAAATGGCTAGTATAGGGAGAAGTTACATGTTAATCTTTTCTGGGAGTTAAAGGATCAACAATCTGTTATATACTAGCTGAAGTGTACAAATTTTGGTCCTTTAGTAGCAAGGATTGTTTCATGCACTTTTAATTTTTGTGTGTGCACAGGTTGAGTTGATTACAACACAGGCCATGAAAGCAGGATTCACAGGAGGCTTAGTGGTGGATTACCCCAACAGTACTAGAGCTAAAAAGTGAGTAAATACTGTGCTAATTATTCTTGCATGCATGGGCAAAGTGATGCTTTCTTTACAATTTATTATGATCTTGCAATGTCCAAGGCCAACTATTGTTACAGTAAAGAGTTTCAAAAGCCATTTGGAGCATTTGTCATTTGGAGCATGGGCCCTTAATCATCAGAGCTAACACTTCAAAGGTCAGCTTTCTGAACTCTTGAAAGTGGCCAGTTTACTGTATCAACTCCATTGATAAAACTAACTTTTACCACTCTATTGGAATATCCCCACCAATGCAGGGCCACAGTTTCTTTAGAAACTTAACCCCTTCTTCCATTCTTTCAGTTACATTTAGTATTCAACTTTGTCTTCCAACTAATTTTTCAGAATATTCCTGTGTCTTTTTGCTGGTGTAGTTGTGGACAAACTTCCAAAGGTACATTAGTTGTTCTTTGTCAGAATTAACTGTTCTCTCTGGTGACTATTCATTAATAATAATTATTATTTCAGATTTACCTTCTACCTGAATCCTTAGTTTGACAAGTTGAGATCCATATTAGTTTTTGTTGACAGTTTACAATTAATGAATGTAGTGGATGATTCAGTGTCATCAGTGTGCCACTTTTTCATTTTGACAGTTAACAATTAATGAATGTGATGGATGTTTCAGTGTCATCAGTGTAATGATAAGCACTGTACTTGCTTTATTTGTTTTCAGATTTACATTTTGAAACCTTTGTAAATATGTATCTATTTGTAAATTTGAAGTGGTTAGTGTTTAGTGGTTAGGCATTTGATGTTAACTTTATAGGCTTGTGTAAGAACATCAAATTAATCAATTTCTTGATTTTGATAGGGCCTTGGCACTGAGGATTCCAAATCTGTTGAGGATAGTGTTCAATTTAGTGGGAAAAGGTACAAATTGAACTTGATACTATTCCTATCCACTTGAAATTGAAGATACTTTCCAATATTCAGAGCTGACTGGAAAAAAGAGGTTGCTTGCAGCAGTGATTTCCTTTATTGATCAGAATTGTCTGACCAGATCTGTCAATCTTCAAGTTTTAACTACTGTTATTGTGATGGCATTTGTATCAAGAAAAAAAAATCCCATTGAGTTTCAGTAATAATTTATGTGGTCAGCTGGTTAGGACAAATGGAATGCACCCTGAGGGATGAGTTTTTGGCCACGGTTTCTAAAACTCCAATCTCATGTTGATATCTATATATTAAATGTTTATAAATATGAAGAATTATTCATCTTGCTTTCTTGTAAATGATAAGCTTCTGCAAACCAAACTGCTTTGAAAAGATGTGGACCCTTAACTCTTGGGTCTGCAGATTATGACCTCACAAGAGAATAACAAGGTTGTGTTTCAGTTTCTCAGTTTAAGAAATCATACAGTCATACTTAAATACTCAACTTAGAGGCTGCCAAATGCTGATGTTGACCAATGCATATGAAAATATCAACTTATGGGGGCTTGAGATTCTCCAAACATTTTCAGTAGCTTCTGAAATGTTGTCCAACTTTGGATATGTTTGGAAACTAGGTAAGGTTTGGGGATCCCAGCTAATAACTTTCAGCCATGTTCCACAGACTGTCACTGTGTTTGGTCCATTTTAGGCTGCAGTAATTGCATTTGTTGCACAAAAGATGAAAGAATTGTTAGATTGAGTTTTATTGCTTTGTATTAGAGAGAGAACAAAAGTACCACGAGGAAAATCAATAAAAAAGAGCAAGGACTGGGTAAAAGAAAAGAAGGACAGGAGAAGACGTCAGGGAAAGTAAGGAGATTTGCAAAATCAATCACTGGTTGAGCACTGAAGATACCTTAACCCTTAACCCCCTAATATCAGTATCCATATTCTCCATACTATTCACTATACATTTCCCAAGGTGCTGACAAAGAGAATTTGTTCAATAATCAACAGCTGCTTTAGTTGGTGATCATTTCCTCTATTTCCATGACCTCAATGTTTGATTCAAGGGTGATATTGTAAGGAGAAATTAGATTCTAGTCACTCTTAGGGGTTAAAGGGTTAACCTCTCTTTTGTTGGAGGAAAGGAAGTCTAATGGAAAGATTTCTTGAGTTCATTTTACCCTTTATGTCCAAGATCTGATTGTCAATTCCCTCCTTCAGCTGCTATACTTATCCTTGTAAATTAGCTGCCATAATTTGGTGTTAGATCAAGATGACATCTTTACTTAATAAGTTTCAGTACTCTTATTACCTGCTTGATAGACAATATAATTATGGATATTGCAAGAATAAGTAACATGTTTAACACTTCTGGGAGTTAAAGGGGTAAAGCATTTTTTTACCTAAAATGACACAGAACTATTAGAAAAAAAATGTCCTATTTCTGTTTCAGAGAAGTAAGGCCAGACTCCAAGTATACAGGAAGGAAAAGAAAATCCACATTTTAACCTTATCTTTCATGATGGAATTAGTCAGGAACTAATGTGGCAGCCTCTTGGAACAAGAGCTATTAATGGTCTTGAAGATATGCCCAGTCTCCGTTTCTGTAAGCGGAAGCACAAGTGCTCAGTTAAATTACAAGGAGTTCGCTGAAATTAATCAACATTACAATGTGGAACAGTCAATAAGGTTGTCGCAGAATGATGCACAGAGCTACATAACCATGCATGCATGTAGCTTTAAACTTGAGGAGTGGAGACCCTTTTACCCAGAATAGCAATGTGCTGAGCTCTTCAGGAACATATGAGGAAGAACATCCCGCCATGACCTCCCTCTTTAACTTACAAAATATAGAATATTATTTCAAGTGAGGGAGGGATGAGTGAGTGCTTACCCTTCCCCCCCCCACCTCTCCTCCGCTCAAGGTACATCAATGAATGAGCCTTTTTAGAGACAGAAGCTACCTTCTGTTGTAAAAGTGGACATGATTTTAAGGGAAACTTTCTGAATTCATGCACAATATGTTTTATAACTTTGAATTAATAATTTCTTACCTTGATGGAGTACCCTAAATGCTACAAATATCAAAATTAACTCCTAAATGTTGTTGTGAAAATCACTTATAACGTAAGGATTGACATTTGATTCTTAATGAAAACAAGAAAATTAAATAATTCATATTCACCCCAAACTGTGAAGTACACCTCTTGTGACTGAGAAGCATTTATAGTTGAATCCTGTTTGAAAATATTTGAATAAATGATAAATGAATGACAACGTTATGAGTTGTGTCGTTTATGTTGTTAACAGACCATTACATATCCCTGTACAGCTTATCATCAGTATGCATATTTTCCATACAATTTTCCTTACATTCCCCCAGGTGCGCATAAGGAGATTTTGTTTAACAATCAAGAGCTACTTTAGTTGGCGATCATTTACCTTATTCTCCTGACCTTAATGCGTGATTTAGAAGTGATACTGAAAGAAGATCTTTAAACAGGCAAGGGCACTTCTGTCACAAGCTTTTAGTCATTTGACCTGATCCGTGGACGCGTTCCCTACGTTTGTAGCTAGTTTTGAACCTCAGCCTGGAGAGCTATTCTTTTTTTCGTTTAATTTTCACCCGTTGCGAGTTGATAAATTTTAATACTCGTATTTTCTCTTATCACTTTAACCATTCTGTATCTTGGGTTTTTGCCTTGATAACATCAAGCTAGTGCGACCTGTTGGTAACATTCCACAATAGAGGGTGCGAAGCGAAACACTGAGTGGTATTTTTCTGCGAATTGAACAAACGTGTCGTATTCCCCTAAAGAGCACTTTTGTCTTATTTTTTTTTTCTGGCCCTTGGGGAGTCCATCATGTTTTTTTAGCTTTTTTCCCGCAAATAACTGATTTTTATGCTCTTCAAAGTGTTTGTGTACCATCTTATGTTTTTTTGTGAATGAGGGGATGTTTTAATCCTTTTGATGGTAAGTCGCGTCATGACAAAACTTAATGCGAGAACAATAAGATGGCCGACTCTTCGGTATGTTTCTGGACTTGATCCTTGCAGTAAGTCGTTCACGTGTTACATATTAAGAAAAATTCCCCGCGCCCTGTAATCAGGTTTCAAATCCTGGAGCAGTGAACTTGTCATTTTTTAATCAATTGTAATTTGCGATTTTCCCTTCTTTTGGAGAGGGGGGGGGAAGGGAAATTCGCACTTGTTTTATTAATACTTAGAATTGCAACTGTTCTTAGACATGTTCCTCGCAGATCAGTGGGTGGAGCAATGTACTAAAAAAACGGCCTCAGCCAGAAATCTTAGCCTGGGGAATTTGTCTGTCATCTTATATTAAATAGTTTTATTTCAGTTTTTGTTGTATTTTGCTAGGAAGTTTTTTATTATTTTTTTCTTTGCTGGTCTTGATGATAATAAGTGCCAAAGTCCCTCTATTTGGTGGCTCATATTTTTTTTCCAAAATAAAGTATTGTTTTTGTCTAGTTGATGGTATGTTAAGCTTTCACCGAGAACTTAATATTACTGAGGGAACTGAATAGAAATTCCGTCAAATAAAGAAACGTAAAAGCTGATATTTAATAATGATGACAAATCTAAGTTGAGGGACCTCTATCTCGCCATGGTTCTAGTCTAATTCTCTGGATATAAACTTAAAATTAAGACTCGTAAGCAGACAAGGTCCATGGATACAGATTTGATCCTGGGGGCATCACACTTGTTAGATATAAACTTTAAAATTTAAGACTGTTTTTCAGACAAGTTCCCCGCAGCTCAGTGGGTAGAGCAATCGACCGTGTTAGCGGTCCCTTCTAGGGTTCAAATCCTAGAGCGGGGAACTTGTCAGTTGTTTTTTATCTTTTTGACTTGTTACTTTATTTGTTTCTTGATTGTTTTAATTATTATTTCAGACCTTTCTATTTTTTTTAGAGTTCACGGAGAGCGAACGTTTTTCCAAAAATCAGAATTTGCCTTCCGCAGTTGATCTTGGTAGACTGCAGTACACTTGTTAGACATGAACTTAAAAATTAAGACTCCTATTCAGACAGGTTCCCTGCAGCTCAGTGGGTGGAGCAATATACCGCGAAAGCGGTCTCAGCTAGAAATCCTCGCTTGGAGAACTTGTCAAATTTTTTTTATGAATTTCTGTTTTTTATTTTCGCTTGTTTGTTTATTTGTTTTTCTCTTTTCTTTGCTAGTCTTACCAATGATAAGTGCTTAATGCTTTATCTGCTGTTTACTTTTTTATGATAAGACGATATTTTCTTCGGGTTGATGATAAGTTACTTTTAAACCAAATAATTAAAATTAGGGAGCTGCAATGGAATAGAGTGAGAGCTGTTTATGATGAACTGAAATGGCCAATCCTAAATAATAACTACAAACTTAATTCGACAGACTCACCATTCTTCTGGGGTTTTTCTCAGCTGTGCGCTGTGTTCTTGTTTCATGAAGACTTAAAGTTGCACCTTCTTGCGGACAGGTTCCCCGCAGCTCAGTAGGTAGAGCAATTCAACGCGAAAGCGGTCTTAACTAGGAATACTAGCCTGGGAAACTTGTCCTTATTTTTTTGTTTTGACTTCTTTTTCAGTTAACTAATTTTTTGTCTACTTGTGTTTGCTTTTTCTCTTACTAATAAATAAGTGCCTGGGGTCTTTTTTCAGTGGTTTACTTTTAAATAAGGCAATTTTATTTTCGAGTTAATGGTATTTTAAGCCTTCACCCGAAACCCTCAGTAACAACCACAAATATAAGTCGATGAACTTCATCATGTCATACTTCTGGATTTGATCCTGGTAGTGGATAGCACGATTGTTAAATATAAACTTAAAATTTAAGTTGATTTTCAGACAAGTTCCCTGCAGCTCAGTGGGTAGAGCAATCGACCGTGTTAGACCTTCCTAATAATCAGTTTTTTAGGTTTTTTTTCGAGTCCATGGTGAGCGAACGTTTTGCAAAAAATTCATAATTTGCCTTTGTGAATGTCTTCTTTGATCTTTAATATCGTACTTCTTACGAAGATTCATTTCTTTACAAATTTTCCAAAACCCAATGGGGTTTCTGATGCGTTCCCCAAAGGGCGTAGAAACAAAAGCCTTGTTATATTTGTGACGGAACCATCATTGATTGGCTGGTTTCTCTACTCCATATTCATAGAAAATTCTAAACTTCTCGCAAACCAAACAGGTTGTGGACGGGTAAGGACGGTTTTTACCATGGACATGTTTGATGTTGGAACAAGACTAAAGCTTTAAAGCTGTCTGAAGGTGAGCATTGTGCTAAGATTTCAAAGTTGCTAGTTTAATTCATTTTATTGCCCTAAGAGTAATGAGCAAAGTTTCTGAGTTAGTGCGCTTTCGGTTCGCTTCATGCTTCGCCTTCGACCAGGAGAACTGTCGTTTATTTTGTTTGCATTGCAATTTGTGGAGAAAAGGTGCACCAGTCTGTAGTTGCAACAAATATTGAGTCAAATTTGGAATAAATAATTCAAATTTGGTTAATTTTTATAAAGAAGAAAAAAATGGCTTGGCACATAATTTATCCAATTCACGTAGAATGATGCCACGTGTTTCTGCAGTTTTGTGGCAATTGCATGCTCTTCTTAACTCGCGGAGGAATTGTCGTGGTACAATTTCCCAAACGTGCTTTGTGATGAAGTTCATCGGTGCCTATTAGAACATCGTTTTAGCGTCTCAAATTCTGCAAACTCGATAAACTGGCCCTCGGACTTTGCTGTCGTTAGATTATTTTAAAAGTTAGGAATTGAACAACTTACTAAATACTGCTTTGCCTATTTCTATTTAGAGCGAACTTGGCTCACGGAGCAAGACAGCCGAATGAAAGAAGAACAAGAGGAAAACCTGGCTCAATCAGTGTAGAAGAAACTCTTCAAAGATAAGAACTTTAAAATTACTTTATTGTCTTAACATAAATGGTGGCTGCCACAATTAAGATTTATATTTCTCTGGAATTTTAAAGGATAGGTTGTCAGGATAGACTGATTAAAAACAAATCTGTGCAAGAGGTGATAACTTCTAAGAGTAGAAGTTATGCCAAAAAGACTGATGTATAGGCTATGGCAGCCACCAATAGAGGTGGATTTTTTAAGGTGGCACTCTTGAGAGAAAGAAAATCTTGAAAGAAAAAGTCTGAAAAATGGAAAGATTAAAGATAGCATAGTTATCATAGTCATAATGACGAACTAAATTATTCAAACCTTTCTCGTTTGTTACAGAAATCGCTATTAAGCCATGAGCCATTTTATCGTTTTGGCTTTAAAAATTTTTTATTTGAAAAACTGATTTTTTTGAGGATCGTTCGTCTAAAATTTGGTTGTTTCAGTCAGTGCCACCTTAAACTTTTCACACCCTAATAACAATAACCACTTTGCAATGGACAAGAGAACAAAGGCAACCAAAATTCACAAAAGTGATAAATATTTATTACACGGTTTGTTTCCTTGGGTGAAGGAATTTGGCCATTTTTTGCTTCTTCTAAGAAACGATACCACTTCGTGGTTACATCACGTTAACGATACATTTACCGCTGTGCGCAAGGACAAAATTGACGAACAGAGAAGGTTAAGACTTAAACTAACTATACAACTGTACTTAGCTGTTTATGAAACGCAGCAAATCACGACAAATTACTCGACCAATCATCTTACAACCTGTCATCATACAAAGCAGTTACTTTTAACGAGACGAACGCAAATAGTTTGAAACGCACCAAATAATTTATCCAACAAAACAAATATCAAGAACATGATTTTTACATAACCAACTAGAACGAGGATTTTATCAGACGAAACATCCACTGTTCTTCGTAATGGGCACTGATAGCAACGGCACCGCAACTGCGACGACTTTGAAGGCATATCCGAGATTGTCTCGCGGATCATTTATCCGTAAAAATATACGACATGACACGTGCTGTAACTGCAAATGTACACTGTACATCGGAGAGACTGGCAGGAATTCTCGTCACAATATTGACCGCACAGAAACGAACCTCGAGAAATGGTCAAACTAACAGACATATCGCTGAACATCATCTACTTACAAACCAAACCATTTACTAGAACTATATATTTGACAATACAAACCTACAATATTCAACGACTGATTTTTAACAACTAGTTTACAAGCAGACTACATTTGACAGATGGACTCAGTTTACTTTGACATGGCACACGAAACGAATGGTACGAACTACACTGACTTGCTTCAACCGACAAACGCTAATGATTCCTAAAGCCAGTGACAATGTGGCCAAGATTTACTCGCATGTCACGGCAACTTTTCGATTTTACTCCCAGGATTTCTGTAGAAAAAGTTCTAGAGGAAACTAATTTTCCTACGTTCTCTTGTCGTTTTGCAGCAGAAGTATACAAAACCTTTATGTCTGGTTCAAAGGATCTAAGAAAAATTTAGTTCTCTTGGTCTATAATACAGATCTAAAAATTGTTCTTTCCTCCAGCAAATCATAAGCACTTTCCAGTTGAGAGAATTGTTGATTACTTGTGAACATTTTTTTAGCATAGAAAAATTAAATCAACAATTTACAGTCTTCTTATAACTCGCTACGAAATTTGTTACGATTTATCTTTCAAATCACGGCGCACTCAGCAGTTAAAACAGTTGTGAGTAAACGAAATTATCCATCACCTTCAAGCGAAAGAAAAACGTGAAACGTGATTTTGTCCCTCATATATTCACAAAACACAACCAAATTCAAAGAAATTGTCTGTTTCACATATTTTCCAAATCATTATCCTACCTGGAAATAATTGTTATATGAGAAGAAAAATAAACATTAATTTTCGTAAGGAAATTGAGTGCGACTTCACGTTAGAAAGGGATTTTTTGCATTGAGCATTTTTTAACTCGATTACTAAAAAAGAACGAAATTAATTGACGATTATCGTAAGTGAATTTTTTTCACTGAATGTAACATGGTGCACCAAAATATTTTCTCTCTAAATATTCTTTGAACCAGCCATTGGGTTTTATAGTACAACTTGTAATTTAGTAAGGCCTCTTTCAGCCTTGAATTGAATTGATGAGACACAGGACTATAGAAAGTGTTGGAGATTGAAATTTGAATCGCTGCATTCATCGGTGAAAATAAAACTGAGAATCTACTAAACCATTTCATTGACATGTGTACTGGGGCCAAGAAATTGCCTGAATAACTTACATCCAAAAACAAATTACAGTTAACTTGGCTCATCAGACAGAAAAACGCGAAAGTTTGTTTTGATGTTAGAGAATCATTTTCCCTAAATATTTGTCCTGTGAAAATACCCCTAAAACATCGATGGCTGAAAAAGGTCTTATTTGAAGCAACATGGCAAGCATTTAGTACTTTGTGAGTCAAACATATACTTGCGAATTATAGCTTGCCATGTTATTTAGCTTAGTTGTAATGTGTATTCATCACCCTGTGCAAGTAGAAAATCATTTCTTGAGAAATCTCGTGTAAGATTGAACGTGAATTTTGTCGAATTCTCCTAGAAATTAGAACTAAAGGCTATTTTAAAATTTTCTTTAAGAAAATTGCACAAGAGATGTTTACATGTATTTTGGCGGAAAAATTCAAGGGAATCCATTTTGAATTTTATGTCGAAATTCTTGTCAGGGGAAACTCTGTGCAAATTCTACCAAATTTTCCCGCCAAAAGTCTTAGTATATATTTGAACGAATTTTTCTTGACACTTTTGTAATTATTTAATCGAAATTCAGTTATTCAATAAGAATAAAATAATTGTAAGAAAAACACTTGACTCAAATGATTTTATTGATAAAAAAAATGAAGATTACACAATAAAGAAGTGAGCAAACAACACTGAGTTTGATGACTTTTATTAAATAACAACAGAAATTAAATCTTGATATTCATCACCACAAAAAAAAAAAAAAAAAAATCGGCGCATGCGTATTTTGGGCGCCTGTATTTTTTCTAAGTTTTTTGGCGGGAAAATGAAATCACTTAAACAGATGTTACTTACAGAACTTGCTTGAAAATAAACAAAAAACTGGCACGTGCGTATTTTTGGTGGCAAAAAAAAGGCGAGTTGAAAAACAACATTGAGTAACCAAACAGAAATGATACTGAAATCGAATCGCTTAATGGCGGAAGAAGTTTTGGAAAAGCGAACGAAACATTTTGCGACGGTTTTCTTTCTACTAAATTTGCCTAAATTGAGCTTTGGTAAAATACATTTTCTACCTCTGCTTTCAACTCGTCTTTTAGCTGTAAGATCATCCTCTCCAGTTGTCAGTGCTTGATTTGAGCTTCAGTTATCAACCATTCAGCTATCTGCAATGGTAAAAGAAACAATCAAATTAACAAATACATCAACCATAACAAGTTGAAAATCTAATAAAATTATTTAAGGTACAGCATCTGGTGTCAAATTCGATTTCAGCATACTGATTAATTGATCGGTACAAATTGCAAAGTTTACCGTCATCTCACTCTCGCTGAGTATACACTAGCAGTAAAGGTCGTGGAATTTTTCATACTCGTCTTCTTCGTTGTTTTTTTCAATTTTTATTACTAATAAAAATTTACAAAGATAAAATATAACCTGTACATGCAGATTGCCGTGTTTATACTAGCAGTGAAAGTCATAGAATTTTTCATACTCATCTTCTTCGTTTGTTTTGTTAATTTTATTACTAATGACAATTTACAAAGATAAAAAAATACATCCTGTACATGCAGATTGCCGTGACCCTGAGAGAATAAATTATTCTATTTCTGAAAGGTTGTGGCACGGGCTATAAAAGAATTTTGGCATCTTATTTTCCCAACTTATGTTTGTATATTTTTGATAATTATTCAAATTCAATTTAAGCGCACTGATTACTCATGAAAACTAGCACAATGTATCCCTATCTAAATCTTAAAATATAGCCGCAAATATCAAGAGTTTCCCTTACTCTTCTACAAATATTCTATTTCTTAAAAGTTGTGAGAGTTTCTTTGCAATGTATGTGGAAATTGCATGGACCAGACAAAGAATTCTGGCATCATATTTACATAACTATAAACTTCGGAAGCTGGTTTTCTCAGTTTCAAAAAATTTATTTTTCACGCCATTAAACAAAATTCGAATGCCTCTTTTCGTTTCACTCGATGATATCTTTTTTGTCCAATTTTTTACGAACATAACGGCAATGTTATGTGCCAGGTATCCTTGAAATTTTTTACAGAGATTTAAAATTGCTAGTTAAAAATGCGATTTGAAAATGTGATTTAAAAATGCGAAAAAAACGTTTTTCCACGTGCAAATCAGGTGATGCTGAATGTGAAATGCGTCATGGAATTTTAATTGGAAAGTTTATTTTTTGGTGTCTGAGATACTATGATTATCGTATTTGGTTTTGATAACACAGAATTAAACATCAAAATACCTCTTTAAAATCCACTAGCATATCAGTGCATTGCCATAATGTTACATGGAAATCTGGAAAAATTTCTCTTCTACTAATAAACAGAGCCGCTGTTCTTAAGGCAATCTATTGTTTTCGACATTGTTATCTTTTATCCAAGCACAATATGAATGATGAAGCATATACGAAATCTTGCCGAAATCTGTCTGAAAGTTAAATGCTTCAAAATGACTACATGCAGTATTGAAAAACCACCAAACAGTTGTCTCACATCCGTTTGACCACCAAAAACTGGCAGTGAATGACAGAGTTTGCAAAAGCACTTTCTAAACAAAATTCTCTGGTATATTTTTCCAATGCGCACCGTTAAGAAATTAGATGAATTTTTTTGTTTCATCTTGTAATTTATTTTAATATCGTTTTGCCTCTGTACCTTGCAAATAATTTACACGAGGAAAATTGAAAGAAGGTTGTAGATACCGGAAACCCCATGCTTAAACTTGATTTTTATTAACTTCAATAAAGGTTCACACGAAATTTAGTCAGCTTGCCGAGAGAAAGAGAAAGATTGAATTTCTTAGTATACCATTGTTTTAGTAAAAGTAAAATTGGGAACGATAAGATAAGAGAAATATGGGCTAAGAACTTATGATCAAATGCTCCTACATCGGATCTCTTTGCCTTTTTATCTTATAGCCACTTTTTCAAGACAAAAACAGCTCTAAAAGTCAACTTCTTTTAAACACTGCTTCATAGAAGTAGCGATCTGCATGTATTGTTAACTATCGAAATGAGATTGTACTTGTCATTAGGTAATCAATTATTCAAAACAACCAACTCACCAGGTGAGGAAAAGTTTCTATTCTTTCTCCTCTTTTCAGGCCCTTTTCATCTCCATCACCCTTCCTGATTTTGTTCACTTTTCCGTCCAACTACTTCTGCCTGTTGAAAGATGAATGGCAATTTAGGATTGAAGGTCGTGGGAAGGGCCACATAAATTTTGATAAAATTATTTTTGAACGATGTTTTAATAATTTTATAAAGAATAAAAACTATTTTTGAACGTTTTTTAAATAACTTTTTAAAACTAAACTAGTGATCAGCACTTTGCGAGCAGTACATATAGTTGTAAAACTTCTTTATTCTCCAACGCGTTTCGTCTAACTGTCGTAGACTACTTCAGGGAGTTTTGCAAGTTAACACTGAACGCCTGCATTTATATGCCATAGTTAGCGGCTATTACGGGGACAAATGACCATAAAGGCTTGGCCGGACATATGGACTGGAACAGGGAAAGTTGTGAAAATTTTGAAAAGTTTTAGGCAAAGTGAGAAAAACATTAGGGGGCCACGGTTTTGGCTAAAACCGTGGCCCCCAGTTTTTTAATTTTTTAAAAAAAAAATTGTTTAAAAAATAATTGCGTTACTTTCCGGTGGATTGCCGAGAAAAGAAGAAACATCGATGGATAAAATTTTGCAAATTAAAAAAAAAATGAAAATAAAAATTAAGAAACAGTTTGGGAAAATATTGCTCTCTGTAAAAACTTCCTGTCTCTGATGGTGACTTCCGCTCACGTTGTCGAAACGTCAGTCACCACTACCGACACAGTCCTTCTCAGGACTGTGTTCACCCCTGACGATCAGACTATATTATCACAGGTTTAGTATACTTAGGAGTTTCGGTAAGGTTTGGAACAGGGCAACTTCTAAATTTGGAACCCAGGCATACTTAACGCAAGGCTTAAAGAGCCTTACCCCCCCTCCCCCCCCCCTTCTAGGTTTGCTCCCCAAAAGATTTTGAAATTCTTCAGTCAGAGATGATTTTGATGATGAGAGTAGACAGTACAATGTTTTGATAACAGGAATTAATTATTAAAACGGTACACTAGATACATTTATCGAAATTTCACGAATACTAGCTGACCTGTCATAGATACGAATTCCGTTGATTATCCTCCAATGTTTCAGCATTGTCATAGTGCTCTCCATACATGATCATATTTTCTGAATATCGATAAAATATAACTTGATTAGAGACCACCAATCTTTGCAGTTCTCTTTCAAAAGTTAAATGGTAACGCTAGGATGAAAGATCCTTTCACCACATTATAATAATAATGATGATGATGATGGTAATTGTCATAACGGTAATAATAATAATAATAATAATAATAATAATAATAATAATAATAATAGTAATAATAATTTATATATTCATAATTTTTTGACCTTTTATGTTAGAACTCCTATCAAGCAGATAGGTCACGTAGTTACGCCCTATCTTGTTATGTTTTAAGCATCAAGAAGTTTTCACTGCATATATAACAACAATAATGATAATGATAATAATAATAATAACAATAATAGAAAAAATAAATGGTAAAACTCTTGTTCTTTCGAGAACGTTTGTGTTCTTTAGAAGTCAAACCTGCATTAAGCGGTCACCCGAATGGCGAGGTGACCGCTTAGTGCAGGTTGACCGCCTAATACAAGTTCCATGGAATAGGGTTGTCATAAAAAAAAATGAAAAATAAATTTAAAAAAATATTTTATCCCGTAGTTGACCTTTTTATGAACAAAAGCATGGGCTCCTGCTGCCATATAGTTCTTGTGACATTAGTTTGGAGAATTTGGTATTGGATCAACTAATAATCCCCAAATTGATATTTTTCTTTCTTCTCATCACTTATCTGGTTGATATTGTATTGATATGTAGGGAGAAATTCTGTCCTGGTCACTGATGGGAGTTAAAGAGTTACTTTGATGCTTATTTTATTACACCCATTTTGAAATCACTGATGGAATCTGATTGGCTCTAATTGTTAAAAATTGAGTTAAGCCAGTGAGGAGGTACACTCGACTGTAGTAACAAACATATTTTCACGCAAGATGCTGGTAAACATTAGTTTAATAGCTTATTTAACTGGCTTTGTGATGGTGATGAAATATTGTTTATATCAAATACGTCATTGAAAACAACAGATCTCAATCATCTGTCTAAGCATTGAGTTGCATTAATAAACAAATGTGTCGAGGAAATTTTGATAAACAAAACTTAGGAATTTAGTTAAAGGTGTGTTCTATGCCAGCTTTCTGTCTCTGTCCGTATTTCAGTCAGAGCAACCTTAAATAAGCGCAAAGTTAAGGTGGCTCTGTAACTTTGCAGAAAGATGAATTTCGATAAGCTGATTGCTAACAAATTACGAAAAGGGTGGTAACAGAGCTCGTTTCTGAGTTTAAACTGGCGCATTACTGTAGCAATAGGGGTAATCCTGACAGAATATTGTTTCAACCTGCTGGGAAAAGATTGGGCACTTGTCTTATGCAGTTCTCACAGATCGAAACTATGCGTACAAGTGGTACACAATAAATAACCAGAATTAACCCATTAACTCCCAGATCAAATTTGTAATTCTCCCTACTGTCAACCATATAATTCTTATAATGAGAATTTAGTTTTGGATCAACTTATTATCCCCAAATTGATATTTGTCTTTATTCTCATCACTTATCAGGTTGATATCGTATTGATATTGTGAGGATAAATTCTGTCTTGGTTACTCATGGGAGGTAAAGGGTCAATAAGAAACCAATCGAATATTTTTAGCATTCCGTTATAAAAAGAAAGTCCACAGCATATCGCCTGAATAAATGAACACCAATTAGATATACTTGATTACAAATCTTAATTAGTCGTTTGGTCGGTTACCTTTTCCTTTATCTATTTTATAAGGAAACAAAATTTTTCTCGGGAAAAAACTTGTGTGCAAAACTGCCCAACCTACTAAAAGTTCGCTTTCGAAAATGGAAAATTTTCCTTAAGCGTATTTGGTGGCGAAATAGCTTGCAGAGCAGGCGTAATTTTGATGGGCAAGTGCTCAGTACACTCTTGGTGAAAATATAGCTGCCTTCTTTGACTTTTTCATCAGCAGAAGGCTGGGGAGGAGAAGAATTTTGTACCAAGGGGGTGGGCGACAGTCAAAAAGAAAGAGAGGGCAGACAGTAGAGCAATGAATATTTTATATCTTTTTGTCTTCTTTTGCCCCCTCCCCTCACAGTCCACTCTAACTAAAAATCTAACATGGCCGTAAAATAAACGATCGCGGGCTTCTTAACGTCAACTCGCTTTAATAAGAGGTCTGCACTGCAGGTTAGTGGCAAAACAAAGCTGGACATGTCTCTACAATATTACTTCTAGAGTAGGAGTGAATCACTTATTAATAACTGATAAATTTATGCAAAAATGGAAGCATAAAGTTACACACGTACATAGAAAAACGAGTCCACTTCAAAATATGAGTTTCTTACAGTATTTTCATAAAACCACTTAAAGCTACACTTGGCTCAAATATTTAATGTTTTGAATCAATAAAAATAACCGAATATTCTGCACAGAAACATAAAATCTTACTAATTCTGAAAATCGCCCGTCAGAGCAAAGAATTTCACCTTTTTTTGTTTGCACTAGAACTATTAAATGTTTCGAATACATACCATGACAAAGAAGCAGGCATTCTCCTTTCGTCCTCGCTTCGTGTCGTGAACGCTTTTGGTGTGGTTCCTTCCAAATCCCGTGTTTTCCAAAATTTCTAACCGAAAGGAGAGACTTCATTTACACTTGCACGGTTTTCCCTTTAGTTCATGTCAGGATACTGATAATCTTTGTATTAAACAACAGTATTCGTCGAATTTTTAACGCACGAGGCCCAACATCAACTTTCAAGTTCATTGCAAACGTGGCGAGTTAAACTGCATACGAAATGAGTAAGAAGAAAAAATTATTTGCAATGCAAATCAACCATGCCCGCGGGTATTTCAAAAAACCAGGAGCCCATTATCTTAAAAGAACCAAATTAAAGACAGAGGGCGTGGCTAGAAGGAAAAAAAGAGGGAACAGAAATCTTACTGAAATCAAAAGGAAAGGTTATCTTTAATAATTCATTTAAAGAAAATTCAATTTTAGGACTGAGGCATTACATGGCTTTAGAGAATTTAAGTCGTAGAGTGGTGGGTCAGCTAAATGTTTACCGTTCAGACTGGGAAAGGCTTGCGGTCGATGAAGGGATGGCAGTGAAGGAGCAAATGTACTTTAACAGATGTATAGATCTCTCAAATCATCTTGTGAATTGACGCTTGACTTAAAGCATTCAACACAGTACTTATTACTGCCTTTTTTGAAATACGCAAAAAGGAACAGGACTGATAACCTTTTCTTGTGGGTTAATTCGAACCCCCTGCTAACTCGGACAAGATTCGGTTTCCTTTGGATTTCTCCCTAGGCTTCTTTCGTGCTTTAGCCGCTTCTCACGTACTTTACAACAGAACAGAGCAACAGTCAAGGCTTCTTTATAAGTGTCATTTGAACAGAAGGGCCCTAATGATCACAGGTAGCCCAACTACCTGTGCAATGATGATGACAAGAACAGATACAAAGAGTAAAGGAGTTTGTTCAGACAGGACGTGACTCAGGGTAAAACGTGACCGAGAAGAGACGTGCTTTTCCTGTCAGGTTCTGGTAGTCTGAAGTGTACGGCGGCTGATGACGCAGACTGTATAAAAAAACACGCAATGCCATGAGCATCTGTTTTGAAATCGTCTCTGTGAATCAGCGGAAAACACGAGACATGCTGTGCCGCGGTGTAGAGCGCGTGTGTTTCGCTGCAATAATTCTATAATTCTTCCTATTCTATTTTCCGAAACGAAACAAAACGAAACCAAGCGAGATATGACGAAACTAAAGGAATAATGCAGACATATTTTCTAAAAAGGTAAAGATAACTTTCACAAGGATTTTGGAGTAATCGTGAATTTATAAGAACGATTTTTAATCATTTCAGAAAAGTAACTATTTCACGAAATCGACTATTTTCACCCTGCTGTGAAAACGTGACCTCTTTCATGTCACAAAAAAAAAGTTACAAATTTGTATTTCACCAAAGATTTTGGCCTCCTCTTATTTCTTAAAACGTATTAAGTTATGTTTCGCAAAATAGTAATTTTAGGAGAGATACTATTTTGCGAAATGGACTATTAGTCGATTTCGCAAATTAGTAACTTCTCATAAATTACTGCTTTGCGAAATGAATAAAATCTTTCTTGTTCATTAACGATTACTCCAAAATCCATGTGGAAGTTATCTTTACCTCATCACAAAATATATCTGCATTATTTCTTTAGTTTTTTATATCTCGCCTGGTTTTGTCTCGTTTCGTTTCGCAAAATAGTATAGGCCGATCAAGTAAACCGTATAGTGACTGAACGCAACTTTCGTTTAAAACGTGCATCTATTTCAAAATCGTCACTCTAAATGGAAAACATGAGATACACTGGGTACCTTGACATGTGATATTTCAATAATGATTTCATTACAGTCAACTCTCCGCTAACGAACACCCTCTTAAGCGTAAAGGGGGTAAGTTTCTAAAGAAACTGTGGTGCTGCGTCGGTGGGAGAGTATAGCAGGTAATTTAGTGTTAACAACTGAGTTGAAAACGTAAATTGTCCACCGTAAAGGGTAAAAATAGCTTCCTTTTCGAGCGTTAGCCCTTCGTCAGAGCGATTGGAGGAATTGTGGGTTGTGTGTGTGGGTTTATATGTAGAAAGTGGAGCTACGCTAGTGGTGGGAATATGGTGACGAGAAAACAGGAATAAATTAGTAGAATGAATTCAACTAATTCAAATAATTTATTTTTTACGGTGGCCAATTTACGTTTTCAACTCAGTTTTTATCACTAAATTACCCTCTTAAGCGGAAAGTTCAACGATCTTCCGCTGATGGACACTGTTTTCAATTCCCCTTTTTGCCTCCCAGTCAAACTCTGTATTTACACATTCCCGTAAGCAGACACTAAAGTAAGCGGACGTGGACCAACAAGTAAAAATTGGATTTTCTTTTGTTTAAGCTATCTCGTAAGCTGGCCAACAGAACAGGCGTATTTTTTTGACATTTTTTAGTCATAGGCAGACAGTTCTACGGACACATTTTCCAATTTCCGAGTATGTACACTTATGAGACAGTTGACTGTATCACAAACATGCAATCAAAATAATTATGATAACCGTGACAGGTTTTTTTCTCCGACTGATTCAAACACGATAGAAACCTTTGAACAACCACCCCCTCAGCCCTGACCTGACCAGATTACGGTCTCGGTCAGTCATTACCTACCTCGCCAACTGCTCATTTCTGCCCACCCCACAAAAGGGAGCTGGAAACCTTTCCTTAATTTGGTGATTTTCAGCTTGTGAAAAAAAGAAGAAAAAGAAAAAAAATAAAACGAAACAAATTCAAGGTGAAAGGATGTCGTGTTCATACCCTACAAATTCCTCCCGATGAAATCGATATTGGATATGGCCACCCCTGTTTCTACCTAACAGGATTACCACACATCCCTCACCAACATCATTACTCAATAAATAAAAGTTTCCAGGAAAGAAGATGGCAATACGAAGTTCATTGGCTAATTTTTCAAAGCTCGGGTTTTGATCATTCGTGTTTCGACTATTTTTGTCCAACCGAAAAGATTTTGTCAAGAATAATCAGGACAGCAATTCTGGAAAAACCATAGCTTGAAACGCATATGTCACTAGCGGTCTAATGGCGGAGCTTGAGAAGACAAAATAGATAATTAACTGTCAGAAAGAGAAGAATAATACCATTTCGTGCTGTTTTCCTGATTAGGCAAGGCCATGTAACAAACCGAAACTACGGGAGTCCAGGAAATGAGAGCATACTTAACGTGATTTTCTTAAAATACAGACTGATTTAGTCCCATTACTTCTGTGGTCAATTAGTGGCAACACGTGGTAACATCGCGTTCTTTCTACTTACCGGTGAGTTGAAACGTTAATTACTGTTCACGTCTCACAGCTGCAATAACCATTCCTTGTCATGGTTTACAGAGTCACGTCCAGGCTAGACGTATTTAAATACTTGTAAAAGCAATTTTTTTTCTTCGATCTCAGCTAATTATACTCACTAAAAGTGGCGCATAGTCTGCTTCAAACACGGTATCAGAGATGTGAGATTCAACCAGCCTTACGTTAGAAAAATGTATAGCTTCTAGTCCTCGATCATAAACTATAAACCGGAGTAACACTGGACGCGAAATTCAGAAACAGCTTCTTTAAGTTCATCTAGTCTCCGCAGCGCTTTACAGAATAAATAACTTGACATTATGGCGCGAAGCGAACGGTTCCGTGAACTAGTCTACGTGACAGCTGCTGGCGAGAGACATGTGAAGTGTCAGGGGTCCAGATTACCTGGTAATCTACTACATCGTGAGTATCAGGAGACTATCGTAAGCATGCAAAAAGGCAAAATTGAGCTGGTATGTTAGCCTTTCGTTCTTCGATTGAGTTCCAAGGGAAAGGGAAGATGCCCATCGAGGCCAAAGCACTCTTCATCGATATTCTGCGATGACGACATTTTCTTGAGAAAAGCACTTTTCTTTCACTACCCACGTCGAGCCTTTAAGCATACGGGACAAAAAAAGATATTTTCTGCGCTCCAAGTAAATACAGCCCTATGTAAGACAATCGAGAAAACGCTTCTTAATAAATTGGCCAAAATAATTTTTCTTGACGTTGATGACACAGCGTGGTACGCTCAGGAGACTAGGAACAAAGGTGTCGAGATACATAATACAGAACTTGAAGGGTAAAAAGATAGGTTTATACGCGTCCAGCTATTTTCTCAGACACACACTGAGTTCCTCGAGGATCATTAAAGGTCATTAGCACTTTACAAACACTTTCAGTCTGTAAACAGCGCCACTGGGTTCCACCACCTGGACTTTATTTCTGCTTAGTAAGGGGTTGAATATGCGAGACCTTGTGCTCTGTTCAAAGGTGAAGGTCAAAACACTCGAGTCCCCTGCTGGCAGACTACGGGTAGATCAAAACACGAGACACTGATCGACTACGCCTAGATTTTGACTTTCCTTAGTTTCCTAAACATTTATCGTGATAAAGAAGGTATATAATACATTATTCTGGAACTTGTTTAGTCAAAAGAGGTACTGGGTATAGAGGTACATATATATAGCCAATTCCTTGAGCGAGAGAGAGAGAAAGAGGAGAAGAAAGAGACGGTCGAAAATGCTCATTACGTACTTCCGGGGCGGGGAAAGATCTCTCTCAAGCCGCTAGTAACAAAATTCCCAACAGATATTTTGACATCCCCCTTACCATTCTGTCCTGCTCCCGCCCCTTCGGGGAAAAAAAATCTACCAAACGACATAGTTTTAGAAACCTTCATTGGGAGTTTCATTAAATACTTGCAACGAAACGTGATATACGCCTTCTCATATTCCATTCTCTTCTTTTCATACTTGAATGCTCAACATGTAATGCATTTTTCGTGTGTTTTTCCTTCTGACGCCGTTTACCATCCATCAACCCTTCAAGCCCTTTAGACTATGTGGCCCCGCTACTAAAAGAAAATGCCAAATTTTGAAAATAGCCGATTAATTTATGTTGACATTCGTCTTTCAAAGAAAACAGAGTTTGCTATTTTAACTGTTGGACCCCAAATAATAGATACTCGGTCTTGAGTTTAACATTTTGGTCAAGTGCACTTCAGCTTGGAGAAAATAAGCAAGAAAAATGGTGAACATTTGAAACAAGGAGCGCGGTATCGGACGAAGGTTTTTCAACAATTTAGGCCGACACTTTACTTGGGTTTCATCGAGCAGCTCTCTC